ACAATCTTGTGAATGTAGGAAAAAATGCAACCCTTTTGCTTCATGAGGCAACATTTGAGAATGACTTGCTTGAGGAAGCCTTGAATAAAAAACATAGTACAACTGAAGAAGCTGTAAAAATTGGAGAGCGGTATTTGGATTTTCTTTTCTTAATATTTAAGCATAATTCATTACTAGACTTTTACTAACTTACATAATTTTCATTTTGTAGAATGAATGCTCATTCAATATTATTGACTCATTTTAGTCAAAGGTACCCAAAAGTACCGGTATTCACAGATGATCACGGTAAAGTTGGAATTAGTTTTGATTTTATGCAAGTGAGTATTGGTGAATTATATAAATTGCCGAAATATGTTAAAGCCCTTAAATTATTGTACTGCGAAGATAGTGAAGAGGCCAAAGATTCTAAGGATGATGATGATTGGATGCAAGAATAAATTATAATCAGTTACATCTATTACAATATATATGGCAATTTTTTCTTTTAGATATTTACGCATTTGAAAAATAAAATTAATACTTAAGTGTATTGCTTTGTGTTGGCGACTTTATAGTAAAAATAATAATAAATATTTATGATAATCTTACTTGAATCTAATAGTTTTTCGGGTTGATTGGAATAATAAGGTACACGGAATCGGTCCTCATCAATCATGGACAATTTTAATTGACTTTCCGCAATGCTATTGAATATTATTCTTTGTGAACAATATTGCTCATTCATGATAACATGCTGATATAATTAATAAAAATGAAATTTAATATTGAATATAATAAGTTAACAACTTTAAGATAAAAATATAGAATCTTATTACTTCAGTATTTGGACCAAATTTTTTCATCCATGTTTGATAATTCTTGTTTTCCAAAACACCATCACCAAGCATATGAATTATAATCCGAGGCTGTAAATCCTTATTATCCGTTTGATACGTTGCAAACTCTGGAGATGCACATATTGAAGATATGTAAGATGTAGAGGGAACATCTATAACAATGAAGATCTAGATTATATAAT